AATATATAGGTTACCGTGGAATTTATTGAGAAATTATTATTAAAAAATCACAAAAAATTTTCAACTAGGTTACTTGAAAATTTTTTGTGATTTTTTAATATTAATTTCTCAATAAGTTCCACGGTTTACTATATATATTTTATTGTATAAAACAAAATCTAAATATTTCAAAAATCTTATTTTTATTTTTTTTCTACTCCATCTAATCAATAAATAATAGTATAATTCGAGAATTGTTGTTGAGGACTTACTTTCTCGTGAGGCACTGTACAAATACTCATATTTTTAAAAAAAAATTCTCAAAAATTTGCAAGGTAAGGTATAGTTAAAAGTTCAGTATTAGATAAATAAGGACTATTAGAAAAAAATTAATATTAGTCATAATCTAATAACTTTTTTTTTAACATTTGAGGCGAGAGGTGTGGCGAAAGGACCTCCTTAAGAAAATCATTAACTTCTGATTCATTTAAATTTTAATTGCAGAAGTAAGTATTTTTCTCACAAAACTAACAAGAAATTTTATGTTTTTCCTGCTATTATTACTCTAGAGATAAACGGATCTACATTTTAAACATTTGTGGTCAAAAAAATGAAAGGAGTTGTGAGCGAAATGTGTGAAGCCAATTTACAAACAAATATTGTAGAACTCGAGATAGAACCAACCTCATCCTAGTTTTACTCATAAAGACCATGATGAAAAAAGGCGAATGATTTGTGCTCAAAAAGTTATTGTTCAATTTTTGGGTAATATTCATTATTATATTTATCAAATAATACCCAAATATGTTCAAAAACTTATATGCTATTTAGGTCAACTTGTTAATTTTTGCATAGTTCACCTATTAAGATCATAAATCAGATGTTTTATATTTTTATTGAAATTTTTATACCTTTTATTGCAAGAAAAATGTAAGAATTTAAAAAGTTATGACTCGGGTTAATTTTTAATTTTAAGATACACACTGCACCGTTATTTTTGTTTTGTTTTAGATATTCCTCGGTGTGGAGATTTTTGGAATGTACATAAATGTGTTTCTTAATTAGGGTGAGTTTCAAAGCCCACCTGTATTGAAGCTGGATGCTTATTGTACCCAAAATAGGCATTACAACTATTCTAGATTGAAATAGATGGGAAAAGGCCTTAAAGGGACAATAAGTATAAGAATATTAGAATTACAATGATTTGTCCTTGGATTAATGAGATATATTTAAAACAATATAATATTAAAACAATTGTGTTTATAAATTAACTACTTTGACTTTTTATAAAAACTATATCCGGTTTTTTTAATAATAAAAACATTGTCATGTGCTATGCTGGTTATCATGGTATATTTTTATTTTTCAGTAATTTAGTGTGTGATATAGTGCTTGTTATGTTCAAAATATGCAGTTAGAAGTTAATGAGACACATGTAATTACATGATAATTCAAAATAAATTAAACTTGTTAAAAATGTGTTTTATTTTTCAACTAATTTTATTTTTCAGTTAAAACAAGTGACATTTTCCATTTTTCAACATTTACCTACAATAAAAATTCACTAAACTTATTGTTTGTTTAGTAGTTGTAAGTAAAAGTTGTCAAATAGGAAAATGTTACTTCAAATATCTAAATTATCAAGCCCGCCAATTTTTAAATCGCTTTAATTAGTAGTGTTCTACTTTATCGACTGAAACTGACAGGTGTAGTTCAACCGTAAGCGCTTGATCATTCGAGACATCTCAAGATACCATTTAAAACAAAAATGGGATAAAAAACTATTAAAAGAAAAAAAATATGAATGAATTACTATAAAGTGGTCCAAAATAGTGGTAAAACGCAACTTTGACCCCTTTTTCAATGTTCTTGACAAAAAATAACGGGATTCAAGGCACATGGATCGATACCTATGGGTTTTCCCATTGTAATGAACTTTGAATCATCGAAAAATATCAATTTTTCACCGAGTTCTGAAACAATTTGTCCACCTGTTTACAAGCTAATCAGCATTGCTATAGAGATAAAGCAGGGGCTGAACGAGGGGACTTTTAATTGCCGTTATCTCGAAACCTGTCGAATTCCCGACAAAAATGATAGGGATCATTTTTGTAGATAATGATAAGATCTTTCTTTTTTATCTAAACAAAAATTCTATAATTTGCATATTGTGGAAGATATTGGCGGGAAACCAGTTTTAGGGTCCATTTTGGGCCCTTTCCGACGCAGCAGAGTTGGTAAAAGTTTTCGACCTTGGAAGCGACCGCCGAGACCTAAGAGTTGAGCCACAACGGAAATCTGGACCGACTGAATGACAGGTTGGTCCCTACAGTTACTGGACTATAATATAGATGTGAAGCTTTAATATACAAATATATTTAGCTTTACAGGATGTCCCAAAAAAATTATAATCGATCACATACAGTTTTTTTCAAATATAAGACCTTGTATATTTTGACATTTATAGTATTAAGTAACTATTTATTCATGGTTATATTTTCAGATTTAATAGAGATCACCATGTTTTGTCTAAATGGTACAGTGACTCGTCAAAAAGGCAGTTATTGAGTCAAGTGAATCCTCACTGGATGAATGAGGGACATACCAAATTTCTTTTTCGATCCAAATCTGAATGGTAAACGTTAAATATAATTTCTGAGATATGAAGTTATTCCTGTCCTTGTAAATTCATTTACCAGATGATTATAACAGGTTTTAGCGACTGCTTTCCTCGAGAACTGCATTGAAAGGCGAGGATCCATAGACTGGCCTGCCAGGGCCCTAGATCTTACACCCTTGATTTTTATCGTAAAGTAATACAAAATCAAAAGTCTACGTAAATAGACCACAAAATCTACAGGAGCTACAAGATAAAATTAGATCAGAAATGAGTCAAATTACTCCACAAGTCATTCGCAATATACAAGCTGAGTGTGTCCTCGATTTGCTTAATGTCATGTCATCCCATTTTGTTATCAAAGTTAAATATGTTGAATTTATCTGATAATGTACTATCTCTCCTTAGCTCCTACTTAAGTAACCGTTCTCAGTATGTCCTTATTAGTGGCGTTAAGTCTCGCTTGATATCTCAAGTTTCTGGTGTACCCCAAGGTTCCATTTTAGGGCCTTTATGCTTTATAATCTTTATTAATGATATTTGTAAGAATATTAATGTACAATATTTACTCTACGCTGATGACTTGAAGCTTATTTCAATGATTAATAACAACAATGACTGTATCGTAATGCAAACCGATATAAACAAAATTCAAAACTGGTGTATAAATAATAAGCTCATGTTAAATCCTGCAAAATGCAACGTAATGTCATATACGCGAAAGAGTGACTTCATAAGATACGATTACAATATAGGAGGTGTCGTCCTCCAGAGACCTGACACGATTAAGGACCTCGGTGTTGTCTTCGATTCAAAACTTACATTTGTTAATCATTTGGCCATAACTGTCGCATCTTGTTATAAAGTTCTAGGTTCCATTCTACGATCTATCAAAGATTTTAATAATCTAGATACGTGCAAATTGTTATTCTGTGCCCTTGTTAGATCCAAGCTTGAATATGCCTCAATAATATGGTCCCCTAATTATAATGTGCACGTTTTAACTTTAGAAAAGGTTCAACGACGTTTCCTTAAGAGTCTTCATTATTATTTTCATGGAACTTACCCTGAGAGGGGATACCCACAAGACCAGCTTTTAACAATGTTTGGAATGCAGAGCTTATTTCAACAAAGAATTATATCTTCAATTATTTTCATTTTTAAAATAGTACACCATTTAATTAAATGCCCGGCTTTATGTGCTCAGCTTAACTTCCTAGTTCCAAGAATTAATTCCAGGTACAGCTGCACATTCATTCTTCCCACTCCCAGAACAAACTTATTATGTCAGTCTCCATTGTACCATATGCTGTCCACGGTTAATGACTCGAGTAAAGAAATTGATCTATTTTGTACTACCATCTCAAAGATTAAAAAACTTTATTCCTGATTTATATCCATATGTTCCTAATTAAAATATTTAGTGTAATGTAATTTAGTGTAATTAAGTTTTTTATGTTTTTGTATCTAATTTCATCTTTATATATTAGTTTTTTATGTTTTTGTATCTAATTTCATCTTTATATATTAGTTGTTTCGCATGCGATATGTGTGAGTAACCTTTTTTCTCCACTGGAGTTTTTTTCAGATTACTCATACAATCTCATTTATAGTTTTACTTTAAAATTTGTTTTGCTTTTATTGTATTATTTACAAATATATGTTTATTAATGTTAAGTGCGCATTCTGTAATAGGCCTTGGCCGTTGAATTTAAGAATAAATAAATAAATAAATAAATAAATAAATAAAAATAATGTCAAGAAACCAGAGGATAGCATTTTAAACATTTGCTTTTAATAAAAATCTACTAAAATAATGTTTTTAAAATGATATTTATAAGAAACTTTTTAATTATACTTTGGTTGTAGTTAAATAGTTACAAAATTTTTCTTCTGTGCCTTGTATACAAATAAAATAAAAATTTATATCGCTCTAAATATATTTCAAATGAGGTATCACATAGATATTCCAGTTTAAAAAATTCAATGATTACGTCATCTTGCCAATTTGTTTCAAATGTAGACATAAGCAGTTAAAAACAAAAATCGACATGTTACAGGGTTTTTTAAAAAATTTGAGTTTTCAAAAAATTTAGTTGATTTCATAATTTAGCCGCTCACAGTATATAGTTTTTTGGTCTTCTGATGAATTCTTGAATTTCCTATAAAATTACCTTTCCACTAATGAAAAGCTCCAAATTAAAATGTTATTTATTAGAGATGTAGAAGATTGAAGACTTCTTCATAGTTAGAACGGAGGGGAATAATGTATGTCAGTTGAGAATATGGTTGAAATCAAGGGTCCTTGGGTTAAAACTCGACCTATTCCAGCATCTTTATTCTAATTAAAAAAATAATTTCCACTCTATATTTTTTGGAAAAAAAAAATTAAAAAAGTCCTTACCTCCGAACATTTGCTAAATCTCCTCTTTCTACAGCCAACAGATACTTCTTTTCTTCAAGAGTTAAAATATTTGGTAACTTGGGCATTAATAATGTCTTACGGGTTATTTTGGATTCCACGTCTACCTATGACAAATAATAAAAACATATACAGCTTTCATAATAATTAACAGTTTGTGCAAAAGAGTTGAAAAATGAACATCTTTCATAACAATATTAATTTGTGGAAAAAAGAGTTGATTATGATGGCCACATCACACAAAGACGTAGGCAGAGTGCTCAATCATCTGAGTACGATACAGATATTCCCTTTGAGTTGTAAAGTATAGTTTTCCTACGGTTTAGTAAAAAAAATTACAAAATTTTATAAATGAGTTTAAAGGATATTATGATAAAATAACTCTTTTAATAATATGTTGATTAATAACACATCAGTGCGTAATTGATCGATAGCCGTTTTATTATTGGAAAAACGAAAAAAATATAAATATAAAAGTTGTATGACCATGTTTAATAAATATTCTTAAATAAACAGGATGGTCCATAATCGAGGGGCTGACCAAACTTATTCATTTTTAAAACAGGTAGTTATACATATTTCATTATTTGATTGTTTTTACAAAAATTAGAGTTTACATCAAAAAATGGCTTGTGTGGTATCAAATGAAAGTTGATTGAATCTGCAGTGGAATAAAATTTATTTTATTTTTTAAGCCAGTGGGACACAAGGGGGATTTCAAAAATTAGAGTTTACATCAAAAAATGGCTTGTGTGGTATTAAAAATGAAAGGTAATTGAGTCTGGAGTTAAATTAAATACAATTTTTTTTAAGTCAGTGACGCATAAGGGGGGGGGGGATTTTGAAAATTAGAGTTTAAATCAAATCATGGCTTGTGTGGTATCGAATAAAAGGTAATTGAGTCTGAAGTTGAATAAAATACATTTTTTAAGCCAGTGGCGCACAAGGGGGATTTCAGAAATTATAATTTAAATCAAATCATGGCTTTTTTGATATCAGTATTATCTTTTATTTTAATTAATTTGATCCAGAAACCAAAATGTCCGATGCTAAGAGAAAACCCTCTGGGAGCGAACTTAAAAAGCGGAGATTGAACAAGCAAACACAGCTTCAAAAACAGTCAGATGCGCTGCAGAACTTCTTGAAAGAAGGTAGTTGTAATGCTCCCACAACCAACTAACATTTGAACAACGCCCAGCACCTAGATACCGACTTTCCGGATATGGACCCCCCTTTGGACGCAACTGTCAGCATTACTGAGCTGGGTAAGTCATCTCAAACGAGTTTGGCGAGTAGTGATGCAGTTCCGTACAGTTCCAAAAATCAAAATTCGCAAGTTGTGCAGATCTTAGAGAAACATTTAGAAAAGGCTACCGTCCAAAGTATCTCTCTGACCCAGGATTATGGCCCGAAATCATGCGTGCAGCAGATAGAGTTTTTTTGGTTAAACGTGGTACAGCTGCACCTTTATATAATTTTGATTTTCCTTTTGATGATCAGCATAGAAGATTCTCACCAAAACATTACAAGAAAAGGCTTAGAAATGGAGAAGAGGTTTTAAGAGAATGGATGGTATATTCCGTATTTCAAAACGTTTTGTACTGTTTTCCATGTCGACTTTTTGCTGCACCATCTAGCTTGAGCGCTGTTGGCAATCGGGGATTTAAAGACTGGAAGCATTTAGGGGACTCTTTAGCACATCATGAAAATGGTAAAACTCATATAGATTGTTTGAAATCATGGCTTGAATTGAAGCAAAGATTGAAAATAGGTGAAACAATAGATTCAGTTCTTTTACGCATTATATCAGTCGTTAAAATGCTAGATGAGAGCTCTGTAGCTTTTCGAGGAACAAGCGATAAACTGTATGAACACAATAATGGAAACTTTTTGAAGTTAATTCAGTTATTGACTGAGTTTGATCCAAAAATGGAAGAACACGTTCGCAGAGTCCTCAGTAGAGAATAAATCAAAGCTACATATCTAGGTAAAACTATACAAAATAAAATAATTGAATTATTACAAGCATCATATCATTGAGCAAGTTCAAAAGGCCAAGTATAATCCCGTGATTCTTGACTGTACTCCCGATGCAAGTAAAGTAGAACAGATGACATTTGTGGTAAGATTTGTCTCCATACAGGAATCAGAGTCTGAAGTTCAAGTTAATATCAACGAACATTTTTTAGGTTTTCTACCCATTGAGAGATCAACAGCTAAGGAATTGTCGGAGGTTTTACTAGAAGAGCTAGAGAAAAATAGGCTTAAAGTAGAAAACATGCGCGGTCAAGGGTATGACAATGGTTCCAATATGAGAGGAGAAAAATCGGGAGCACAAACAAAAATCAGAAATATAAACCTCAGAGCATTTAATGTTCCATGCAGCAGCCATTTGCTAAATTTGGTTGTAAACGATATGGCAAAATCCTCGTTTGAGGCAGCCAACTACTTCAATATTGTTCAAAAGTTATATACATTTTTTTCTTCCTCTTCTTTTCGTTGGGCAATATTACTAAAATATATTGATACTTACACCTTAAAACCATTGAATGATACGCGATGAGAAAGTCGAGTCGACTCATTAAAAGCTATGCGGTTTCAAATTGGTCCAATTTACGATGCTTTGTACAGCATATATGTAGATTTAGAAATCGATAATATGATCAGAGACAAGGCTAGCGGATTATTAAATAATTTGAAGCAGTTCAAATTTATATGCTCTGTTGTAATCTGGTATAAAATTTTGAGTCATATTAACCCCATCAGCAAACTTTAGCAAACTGTAAATTTTAATATATCACAAGCTATTGATATGCTTGGCAACTGCAAACTCTTCTTTGAAAACCTGAGATCAGATGAAGCTTTTGAAAGCATCATTTTAGAAGCAACCGAGCTTGCTTCAGAGATTAACGTGGAAGCTAATTTAAAAACCACCACACCACGTTATCGTGTCAGAAGCAAAACAAGAACGTTTTTGTATGAGGGCCCGGATGAACCCGTTCAAGACCTCAAACAAAAATATAAAATAGATTTTTTTTCACACTATAGATCAAGCAATAAATGCTTTGGAAACCAGATATAATTTGCTAAATACTCACAGTAATTATTTCAGCTTTTTCTACATTATTTTTGGTCTACTGGCTCATTGCAAAGATTTGGAAGTAGTTTTAACTGATGGAAATTGGGATCCGGACAGTTTTTCGAACGATAATTATTCGAACGACAGTTCTTCGAACGACATTTATTCGAATGGACAGTTATTCGAAAAGACAATTCTTCGAACTGATAATTTTTCGAATGTACGATTCTTCGGATAGACTTTTTTTCGAAATAAGTTGGTTTTATTTTATATAATTTAATTTTAATTAGTATTATAATCCCATTGAATTTTGAGAACAGGTAATCTTCTAAGTAAGGTTTTATTTTATGTAATTTAATTTTAATTAGTATTATAATCCCATTGAATTTTGAGAACAGGTAATCTTCTAAGTAAGGTTTTATTTTATGTAATTTAATTTTAATTAGTATTATAATACATAATAAATTTAGTTTTGAAAAATTGTAATCTTTTAAATAAGGGTTTTATGGTTCAGATTAAATGCCATCCCTCTAATAAATAAGCAGGTAATTATTATGACATTATTATGATATTTTGACATTGTATTCAGTCTGATTTTAGTGTTTATAAAGATGCCTCTCGAATTCCTTTTTAGTGAAAAAGGAAAAAAAAAGTTATTTTTGAACGGATTTTTATTCGTTAAAGACAAAGCCGTTGATGAAAAAACATATTGGAAGTTCGAGTTCTTTTTGTCTAAGAAATGTAAATCGCGAGCAATTACAAGCCATGATGATGTTTGCAAAGAGACTTCTCACAACCACCCCACGGATGCAGCAGAAGTAGATGCCATACGTTTTAAGAATAAACTGAAGGACAATGCTCGGACAACAAGAAACACTCCACACTACCTAGTATCGGCACTATCAAGTGAAGTGGACAAACTAACAGCAGCCAAACTAAGTAAAGTAAATAGTTTAAAGCGAACAATACGCAGGGAAAGAGTAAAAGAAAACATGGAACCCACACAGCCGAAAAGTCTAGAGGAGTTGTATCTACCAAATTCTTTTAAAACCACCACAAAAGGCGAACCATTTCTACTTTTCGATTCTGGAAACATTAAACAAAGAATTCAGATTTTCAGCACGAAAGACAATCTGGATTATCTACAAAAAGCTGAATACATATACATGGATGGAACTTTTAAGACTGCACCTATGCTTTTTCACCAGCTCTACACCATACATACATTTATAAACGAGGAATCCGTACCACTGGTATATGCACTTCTACCTGATAAATCAAAAGACACTTACATAAAGTTAATTTCGGCCCTTAAAGATCTAGCACCAGCTCTCAGACCGCAATCGGTTCTAATAGATTTTGAAGCAGCGATGATAGGAGCGATACATCAAGAATTTCCAAATGCAACTGTACAAGAATGTTTCTTCCACTTTTCACAGGCAATTTACAGAAAAATTCAAACAGCTGGCTTTAAACAGCGATATGACACCGACAAAAACTTTGCACAGCACATGAAGATTTTAGCTGCATTAGCTTTCGTACCTACAAAATACATACAGCCATTTTTTAATGCATTAAGCGATGATTTTCCAGAAGAAGCTACCGAGGTTCTGGACTACTTTGAGGAAACATGGATTGGGATGATTCGTCGCGGTCGTCGAAGGTCACCGTTGTTTGATTGGGAAATGTGGAACTGTGTTAATAATGTTTTAAACAGTTAACTCAAGACTAACAACCACATTGAAGGTTGGCATCTTGCCTTCGAAAGCCAACTTTCGGCTAGCCATCTCACAATATGGAAGTTTATTACCGCGATTCAACGCGAACAATCCTTAACTGAAATGAGAATTTCTCAATTTTACTGTGGAACTCCCGCTGTGCCGAAGAAAACGAAGTACTTACAATTAAATATTAGATTACAAAATATTATCACTAAGTTTTCTCCTAAAGACCCTATAGAATACTTAAATCGTATAGCTTGTAATTTGTCTTATAAATAAGTTCCTCGTTTCTTTTGTTATATAGTGT